TTTTTTTTTTTTTTTTGCATAGAAACTCTAGTTTTATATGAACCCCCACCTGGTGAAAACTTAAATTCTCACCGGAGTAACTATTATAAAAGGTAATATAATTATAAAATGTATGCAAATCAACCAAATGAGTAAAAAAATAGTTTGCCATTTAAAATGATAGAAATAACAGAGAAAAAGCGCTTACCTCATTGTTAAGTTGCTTCTCTTCCAATGTCAGACCAAGGTTTATGGAGTCAAAAGATCTTCCTCTGCGCGGTCCCTCGCTTTTAGTTGAGTACATGCTGATGTTTCTTATTATGTCAACGAGTTTGTCAGTCTTTTAACTGGATGTGCTACAATTGTTGTAATACAATGAGACTGTGCGCTTTGCTATTTATGAGGCTCTGAAGAGGGGGAGGAGGGGTGGCGAGTTAATCTTCCTCCTGGCAGCAAATGGAAAATGAGCAGCTTCTCACGTCATGGGGATATTCATATCAGAGACATACCTTTTCATATTCTCTTTGACGTTCTGCACACAAAAAGATCTGTGTGTGAGGAGAGCCGCGTCACTGGCAGGAGTTAGGAACAAAAATGCCCACAGGACACCAAAAAGTCTTTCTTGAAATCTCTCTTATCTGTCTGCAGATGAAAAAACTAATATTATGAGAGCATAAGCCAGTCATTTTGTGGCCACACAATTGTATATGCTAAAAACACATTTTATTTTATTTGCAAATTAGTGCTGTCAAACAATTCATCGCGATTAATCACATCCAAAATAAAAGCTTGTGTTTACATAATAAATGTGTTATGAGATGAGAGACATGCGGATCCATATGCAAGCTTTTATTAAGAGACGTGGTTTTAACAGGCATGGGTCAGACAATGGCAAACAGGTATATCGAAGGCAAGGCAAGAGATAAATCCAGGTAGAAGGCAAAGGTCCAGGCAGGGGCAAACAGAGTCAGAAACAGCAAGCAAAGGGTTAATCCAAGATACGTGGCGTGAATCAGAGACCAGGAAAACAGACAAGGCAAGACTAAGACTAGACTAAGAAAACTATAAAAACTTAAACAGGCTCGGTAAGGTAGCTATCCGCTAAACAGGGATAAACGCAAAACAATACACGAGACTAAAACAGAAAACACGGAATGGCTCGGTAAGGCAGCTAACACTTGGGGAGTGAAAAATGCAGAACAATACTCGGCGAATAGAGCAGGATCAGGGTAGGTGTTATATAATGTGTGTAATAGCATTCAGGTGAGCGTGTAATTGGTTTCAGGTGTGAGTGTAATCAGTGCAATGGAACATGGGAAATGTAGTCCAGGGTGATGTGTAACAGTCTGTGTGGTGCGAGAGTCAATATCATGGAAGGGCGACCTCTGGTGGCAAGTGGATGGAAAATCATGGATCGGATTCGTGACAATATGTCTGTGATCTTGATCATGCACACATTGATCTCATTCACGATACTCACGATTTGTTTTATTTTTTATAAGACAAATTATAAAGGAAAAGGTGTTACTTTTATTATTGTTTGGACAAAATGCTGCACATTTCTTTGAGAAATTGAAATATGTCAAATGACAAATCTAAATTGAAATTTTATAACACAAATGAAAAAAATATAAACAAATTAAGGCTTTGCCTGGGCTCATTCACCTGTCAAGTTTGAGATTTTGGGCTTTTTGGTTTTTCATAAAGTGTTTTTTCAGACTAGTGGAAAGAAAACATCCAAAAGACACTGTTAAGTGTTTCTTTTATAGCACTTTATCTATTTGTGTCAATAGATTTAAATTAGAGTTCACAAACGGCCTCCATAGCCGTGACAGGGTAGGACAAGGATTCACAGACGGCCTCCTTAGCCGTGACAGGACAGGCAGAGAGTTCGGCAAAGGTTCCTTTGACCTTGACATGACAGCTTGAAAGTGCGTTTCTGGGCGCCACCACCACGCAAGGAGCTGAAGCGAGCACAGACTAAAACAGAAAACACGGAATGGCTCGGTAAGGCAGCTAACACTTGGGGAGTGAAAAATGCAGAACAATACTCGGCGACTAGAGCAGGATCAGGGTAGGTGTTATATAATGTGTGTAATAGCATTCAGGTGAGCGTGTAATTGGTTTCAGGTGTGAGTGTAATCAGTGCAATGGAACATGGGAAATGTAGTCCAGGGTGATGTGTAACAGTCTTTGTGGTGCGAGAGTCAATATCATGGAAGGGCGACCTCTGGTGGCAAGTGGATGGAAAATCATGGATCGGATTCGTGACAATATGTCTGTGATCTTGATCATGCACACATTGTACCCATTCACGATACTCACGATTTGTTTTATTTTTTATAAGACAAATTATAAAGGAAAAGGTGTTACTTTTATTATTGTTTGGACAAAATGCTGCACATTTCTTTGAGAAATTGAAATATGTCAAATGACAAATCTAAATTGAAATTTTATAACACAAATGAAAAAAATATAAACAAATTAAGGCTTTGCCTGGGCTCATTCACCTGTCAAGTTTGAGATTTTGGGCTTTTTGGTTTTTCATAAAGTGTTTTTTCAGACTAGTGGAAAGAAAACATCCAAAAGACACTGTTAAGTGTTTCTTTTATAGCACTTTATCTATTTGTGTCAATAGATTTAAATTACAATACATATTTTAATAATTACAATATATATATATATATATATATATATATATATTCTTTTTTTTTGTCTTTTTAAACAAATAAAGGAATCATTTAATTGATCAAAAGTAATCAATCAAAAGTGAATGTTACAAATGATTTCCAAGATACTAAAGACTGATCACATTAAATTACATACATTTCATATTTAAAATTACAAATTTAAATAAAGTTTTAAAATACATGTATATTAACAGCTTGTAACACTCCAAAGAGAAAGGAAAACTTGAAATTGCATCATATGACCCCTTTAAAATACAACATTTAAAAAAATCATAAATCATAAATGTTTACATATGATTGATACATTTATATATAATGTATATATGTCTATATGTACACACCTATATAAATATGTGTGTCTGTATATGTATACTGTATATAACACAATGTATTATAAAACACACCCATAAAGTGTATATATATATATATATATATATATTAGCTTTCTATTTTTTCTATTCTATCTACTTGTTTTTCTTTGTGTGTGTGTGTGTATAATATATATATATATATGTATATATATATACTGTATATATATATATATATTAAAAATTGTAAAAATGACGGCAAACTTTTAAAAGATATTATGTGTTTATGTATAAATATAGATTTATATAAAAATGTTTATATATTTTCATTTTATATATAAAAATGTGCAGGTGCCACAGTGTTTACCAACATTATGCAGCACAAAACAAAACTTTCATGCTTAAATGGAACACCGGAAGTCTAGTGTGACCAAAGGCTAAAACTAATTCTGACATAGATCACCATCTACTTCCAGAAGCTGTGATGTCCCACACGTGTCAGAGTTTGGGGTGTGTGGGCAGTGTGTAAACTGAGGAAAACCCACCTGGTGGAAGGCAAACAAACTCCTATCAACAGCAACAGTGTGTGTGGAGAAGGCTGAGGACTGCTGCTAGATCAAAGCCTGAGCTCCAGGGGTCTGGAGACCACACGGATGCTGTGCTGTCATGACTGATGGGTGCAATGTCAGAGCCTCAGGAGCCTTTGAACAGATTTACGCCAGATGTGATGACAAACGAGCTGTGACAGACAGAAAAGTGAACACTGGGCAACATAAAAGGGAATCTTTGTACTGTATACTTGATTTTTGCATAAGGTGCTGTTCTAAATTCCATTCATAATTCATAAATGGCTTTTTTAGAGGTAGCAGCTCTAATTTATGAGTCAGTTAGGGCAAGATGAGGTCTGATGCGACTGAAACATTACCTTAGAGCTCAAGTGGGTTTAAACGGGTTCGCAATTATGTGTATGCGGCTGATAGTTTTAAAGATTCGTGCTGAAGATGTTTTGTCTTGTCTTGATAGTTTGGAGTAGGTTAGTTAGATGAAGCGAATTGATGTTAGAAATTGATATTTAACCGTGATGAGTCGGTCTCTCTCTCTCTACACAAAACGAGCTCAGTGTTAATTAAAGGAAGGGTTGGCTTACATTATGCAGCCTCTGGTTCTTTTGTGCTGTTTGTTCTGAAGAGGCTCTTAGCTGCAATGGCCAGTGAATGCTCATCGGTACACACTCATCTCATTACAGCTCACTCACAACCGCAAAACGTCCACAAACAGCCAGACCACACGAGTTCACCCTAACATATGTTTCATAAAGAAAATAATGCTTATTTTAGGACCATTACGATTATTTTCATTGTGATATATTCTTTTTTTTTTTGCTTTCTGGATAGCTAAGCACATTTTATTCATTACAATCGATTAAAAATATATTATGTATAATGTAATATATTAATATAATATAATAATATTGTGTTACAGTAATGATAACTTGGTGAGAATCAAAAATTGTGAATTAGCCACAACAAACCTGAACTTCCAGATGCAGTATGGTAATGAGAATTTGAACAAAATATGCTTAATTGTCATGCTTTTTTTTATTATTTCAATTTTTTTCCAAATCATTAATTTTCCTAAAGCGAAACTACATAATAATAAAATTAACAGAAATATTTTGTGAAGAAAATAATTCTTATTTTAGGGCCATTAAAGCTATTTTCATTGTGACAAATTCATTTATTGATTTCTTAACAGTTAAGCTCATGTTAGCCATTACAATCAATTTAAAATGAATAAATATTTATAAACAATAATATGATAGATTTTTACAGTAATAAGAATTTAATGAGAATCAGGATTGATAATTACAAATTACATTCAGATTTTGGGGGAAAACATTCTTAATTGTCATGCAAAAATATTCCTGAAATATTTAATTTTCCTAAAGCAAAACTACATAATAATAATAATAATAATAACAAAATGAACAGAAAAAATATGTTTCATATATTGTTTTGGGACCATTAGACCATTAATTTCTTGACTTCTTGACAGTTAAGCATCAATCAATCAAATAAATGAATTCATTAATAATTAAATACACACAAAGAAATGTTACAGTAATAAGAATTTAACAAGAATGAAAATTGAGAGTTACAAATTAGGGAATGAGAATATTGGGAAAACATCCTTAATTGTCATGAAATATGACATGAAAAAATATTCCTGAAATATTAATTTCCCTAAAGCAAAACTACATCATAATAAAATGAACAGATAAAAAAATGTGTTTCATAGAGAAAATAATGCCTGTTTTGGGACCATTTTCATTGTGACATATTCATTTCTTGATTTCTTGACAGTTACGCACATCTTAGTTATTAGAATCAATCAATCAAATAAATACATACATAAAATGTTGCAGTAATGAGAATTTAATGAGAATGAAAATTGAGAATTACAAATTACATTCAGATAATGAGAATATAGGGAAAACGTCCTCAGTTGTC